GGGTTTTTTAACCCCCTTTTTTTTTCAAAAAAAAGGAGTGGGGGGGGGGGGGGGGCGCTGTTTTTAAAAAAAAAAAGGGGGGGGGGGGGGGGGGGGGGGGGGGTCCTGGACCCCCCGTTTTTAAAAAATGACCCCGGGTTTTTGGGGAGAGGGGAGGATTGCCCCCCCCCCCCCCACCCCGGAGGCCAATTTTTTTTTTCTTTTTTTGGGGTTTGGGGGGGGGGGGGGGGGGGGGAGAACACGTAACCCCCCCCCGAAACATGCTACTTGCACTAGCAGAGCCGCTCGTACGATACCGCGACGACGGTGCGAACCGTTCTCAAGACTGTTCGCGGCGAGGGTGCGTACACAGCGGAGCAGTCATCCGGACGGATGGATGCCTCTGCTCTGTGCTGTGTATTTCCTTGTCCTGTTTGTGTCGGTGTGACATTGAACCAACCGCGCCCGGGTCAGCCCACCTTAGTACAATCGTAATGCAAACCCGCATGCAAGCAACGAGACATATCTCGCTCACCTATCTCTGCTGCAGACCACAGGAACAACGACGACCTCGCGAAAAAGCGCCCAAAATGGCATATTATATTCCCCCCTCTCATCTGCTCCTCTCGCTGCGGAGCCGCCGAGAACATCTGCCCGTGAAAAACTACTTCTTCAACCACCCAGGCCACATCTTATCTCAACCCCTCCACGGCGTACGGCCCACACATCTCTCTCTCACTTCTTTGAGGAGAGCGCGTCCTCTAGGTACGGCAGCGCCTCCTCGTAGTGCTTGGCCTTGTACAGGGTCCGAAACACGACGCAAGGCAGGCTCCGGCCGAGACCCTCCCAGTCCTCCCCACCCCCGGAAGCCTCCCTGTCCGCCAGATACAGGCGATAAATGTCCTGCACGTCTCTCCACGCGATCAGCGCCTGTTGTTCGGAGTACGAGGGCAGGGAGGGATGGGCTTGAGCAGACGACACAGCAAGCCCTCGCATTGCTCTAAGCTCCGCGACCCACAGGGCAGTTTTTTTCTGGGTGCTCGTTCGTTTGAGGCACGGCAGGCCTTCGGTCTATTGAGCCGGTCAGGAGAAATAATATGTTTTCATACGGCTGAATTGAAAAATATATCGCTCGCTGGGTTTTCGACGCGATCGGCTTCCGCCCAGATTGGGAGTGGTCTCCTTCGAGTAGCTTCTCGGAAGCGAGTTGTGAGCCCGAGAGGCAAGAACAGGGTTTAACCAAAGAAAACAACGACGAGGAGGGTCTAGGTGTGTACGGAATGTTGAAAGAAGGAACAAAGTTAACGGAGTACCTACATGGACCAATGGATGCAGGGACAAAGCTGAAGGCCGACTCTAGGACCGCGTGCATTGGACTTCGAGAACGTAGACAAAGATCTAGGAAGGTAGACGATGAAGACGACAAGCTCAAATGTGACAGCGGCTCCGAGTGCGAAGACCGGGTTCACGTAGTTGCGGAATGTCCGTTGTACAAAAAAGGAGAGGGAAGTGTACATGACTGAGCTGGAAAGAGTAGAAGGAAGGTACAGCAGGGAGATGTTTGAGGCATGGAATAGCCAGGAGAAGACGGCAGCTGTGCTGGGGCATCGAAAGTGGGTTGAAAACGCGGGAAGTGATATCGATAGGATAGATAGACTAGGGACGACATTCTTGAGCCATCTTGGGCAAAGCAGGAAGGAAGATTGGCCATCGGTGATCCGTCCTGCGGGAACAATGCTCCGCTCTCTCTAGGACGCGTGGTCAATGGTTGAACCGCGAAGGCATGCAAAACATAAAAGTACGCTCCCCCTCCTCAACCCCTGCCCCCTCAAATAAACCCACCTCGGCCGCCCGCGCCCCGTAACAGGTGACCATCGTCGTCAACCGCGCTCTGCTATTCCTCCCCCGACCGATGTAGCCACGCACGCGCAGCATGCGGTAGACCTCCAGCACCCTCTTGAAGCATTTCCCGGCGATGAGCTGCTTCATCACGTCCAGCCCCACCTGGCCGGGAATCCTCCTGGCTCTATCGTCCACTATCGCCGTGTTGAGCACCTGTTTGTGCGCATTATTCGGGGTGGTGGCGGGGGGGCGCAGTTGAACATCCGCGACAAGCGGGGCAGCGGCGGTAACGTGTGCTCATGTCTCGCCGTGCAACCCGCCATCATTTCAAAATTTCAGACGGTGCGGTGTGAGACGCTAAACTTGTTTGACGTCCTGCACTCTTCGCCCCTCAAAACATGGAGAATTCCAGGTTTTGGGTGGCGATGATATACCCAAATGTCCCTCGTCCGTGTGTTTTCTTTGATTGGCGTCGCCCGCGCTAACCGGTTGACCAATGAGAGAATTCCGGCCTTAAAGAGCGGGACGAAAAAAAACGAACACGCTTACTCGTCTGCTGGCTCCCCAGCCGAAGTGTGTGTTTATTCGGAAATACAGTGTATATATACGAATCAAAGAAACACTGCTGTTGTTCCCATTCGAGATATGTATAACCACAGCAGTAGTCGAAGGGGATGGGTTGAAGTCGTGTTTTCCTGTTAGAATACCGAATACTTACATCAGCGGCGGCCTCTGCCTGCCCGCATCGCAGAAGTAACCGAACCAGAGCGATGTAGACGGTGGGCGTGGGCGTACCGGTAACTTTGCGCGAACGCTCCACGATTTCCATGGCTTCCCGCCATTGGCCTGTCGTGAATGGGTGTGTGCGCGTGCGGGCGCGCACCCAAGCAGGACATGGACAAAAATTCGCATCATACAACGCACGGCGGTTATGGCATGTGAGGATCATCAAGTACGTGTTCGTCCTGTTAAATTATTGACAAAACTTTGAAAGTATGATATCCACGGGAGAAGGCATAATAACTATGTTATTTAGAAAACATAAAATACAAACACAGAAAGACTACCCATTCGAGATAAGACCACAGTCAAACGGGATGTATGTGTTGAAGTCTTCAAAGTGAATGGAGGGAAACCGGCTGGGTACTGGGCTTATTTGGAGTCTATTTAAGCCTACACACTGAGAAATTTCGATCAGTGATGCCAGCAGGTGCTAATCACAAAATTACTGTATAGGTACATATACCACAAGACATCTCCCGCGTAGCGTTCTCTACCTACGGGGTCAACGACAAAAATATCGGGGAGAAACCCTCCGTTATGTTTGTAAAGAGTTTTTATAGTGGTGGGTCATTATCACGCCGAGTTTCTAGCTGAATACCCTTGTACATGCGTGATTACGTTTTGTCTACAAGTAGGGAGGGCGAAAAAAGAAACGAATAAGCCTTCTTGTGCTGCATGGCAGCGTCAACCGATAGTATCTATTTTGGCTGACTCTTGTCCCCCCTCATGTCCATCCAGCGCCCCATCCTATCCGGACTGCATCTAATTTGTTTGTTGTGGACGTGTTGCCCTTGGGACGCGGTAAGCTGAAAAGCAAAAACAGCTCGAATAGTCTAGAGCAGTAAAACACGCCAACCATCTCCATCGAACAGAACGAATAGTGGGCCGCGGGTAGGCTGCCTGGTTCTGTGCACACAACAAAAAAATACTCTGCACGATTTGCCATTCTATGCATATCACAACGGGTGTGCTGCTGCAACGCCACACGTACAACTCCACACGTACAGAGCAAACATAGCAGTGCTTATTTGGTTGTTGCATCATTTTGGGGGGGGGGTGATTGTACTGCTGTATGTACTTGACGCCACCGTGCTTCTCATAGCTGGGTTCGGTACGCACGGCGCTGCGAAGCCACAAATGGTAGAAAACCATGCCATACCATACAACTCTTCTCTCCCGCCATCGTACCAGTCGTCGGATGGGGTCAGGTTCGTAAGGGTGGCAAAGGCATTCACCCACAGGTCAACATCGCGACCTCGGAACCTTGGAACGGCAAGGGTTGTGTGTTTCGGAGGTGAGGCCCTCTGTAACTTGCCCTTGCTATACCCAGGAAAAGAGGAAATCACTTGGGGTGTACGTGCACAGCAGCAGTGGCGGTGAAGAGCAATCAGTCACCCGGTACCAGTGCGAATCGCAAGGATATCACTGAATACAGACGGGATGCGCGACAACGCCCGTGGGGTACACCGGTGTAAGACGAGAAGATGCTGCTGCACGAAAATGCGGTGGGTCTGTCACCGTCTCCCAGCTTCACGTCAACATGCAAGGGCGTCATGAACAAAGCCCTCCATTACTGGGGGCATGCAGCTCACGTAGAGCAGACACTCACCTCCTGCCTCGCACGCAGACATCTGGGCCTCAACTCGTTTGTAGTCGCTAGCACCTGCTACGACCCCCACAGCCTCCGCCGGCACTAGCCGCTGTCGCCCACGATTGCGTTGTTGAGGTTCCTGTTGCTGCTGTGCCGTCATGCAAAGAGTTTCCCCTCCCCTTGCCCTCACCCTCCTCTTCCTGAGCCTCGACTCATCTCTACAGGACTCTCCCTCGCGAGGAAGGCTCCGGAGCACAGCAGTCTCTCGGCCGGTCGGGCGCAAACCTCCAGCGGCGGCTGGTGTTGATGCTCCGCATGCTGCAGCGCCGCCGACGACGGGGTGGTCAGTGCCAAACATACGGTACGGAGGGGTAGGAGTAGCCTTTGCGTTCACGGCGAAGGCTGGGACATCTCTTCCGACGGTGAGAGGCTGCCCACGCCATACCCCTCGGCCTGCTGGCGATGATGCCTCCACCATCGTGACGGACAGACAGCTCGCTCGCTTACACTGATGTGCACCGACCGTGCATGCGGTCTGGAAGTGCATGCATAACTTAACTTGGCATGACGAGCGAGGGGGGCCGTCAAATGGAATATTTCTACCCGCAGGTACCCTACAAAATGACGGTTGATCATTTTCTGTGTTAGAGAGCCAGTGGCGCCAGGTGCCAGGTGCCAGGCGCGGGAAACGAGGTACTGCTGTGTAGCGAGAAAGAGAGGGCGCTCGACAGAGTCCCGACGAGCGAAGGAAGAGAGACAACGACAACGACAGGGACAGCCAGAGAGGGCGGCGAGGAAGCCCAACAAACGATAGGCAGCGCGTGCGCACCACCAAAAGATAAGGAGAGAGCAAGATCTGGGCGCGATGGCCTCCAGGCAAAGCACCCGCGCGAGCAGCAGCCAAGGCGGCTCTGCCGTAAACGACTCTTTCGCTTCTCTAGACCCGGAGGAGTTGTTACAGATGCTCGCGGGAGAGGACGACGACGGGGAGGAAGAGGAGGGGCGAGACATCGTGACAGACCTGGACGGTCGACTCGCTGGAGCGATTGGCCGCCCCGAGCTCGAGTGCGGGCTCAAGAGGAAGAGGGGCGCAGGCAACGAAGAAGGTGTGTGTGTGTGTGTGTGTGTGTGAACCTATGGTGTGAGCTACATACCGCTGCTGTGTTGATGTGTGTCTTCTGCCTCGCCCTCGCTCGCTCGAGCGCGCTTCAAGTGCCGCCAACTACATCATTTACAGCAACGTACATACGGTAGTAGTGTGGTATGCGTACCATGCGTGCAGTTGTCGTTGTACACGGCGATGAAAGCAGAAACACAGCGACCGCCGGCGACGGCAAAGAATGGCACGTCCGTGCACAGCTGGCGGTGGCCACCGCAGGCTTCGCCAAACGGCGGAGAACAGCCCAGCAATGGGAGTCGTTGACATGGAAGCGGTAGAGTGATGCCTGTTTTAACAAACGGTATCTGTAGCAGCGGGAAGGTCATTGAATGATCTGGGTGCTATGCGTAATGCACCCTCAGATCTGCCTGCATGAACGGAGTGCTATAACAGTACACAGATGTAACTGCGGATTGCGGTGTGCGCTGGTTCATGTTTTCCTTCAAGTTCACCTCCTCCGTCCTCCGTGTGGTTGTGTGCATGAAATCAGCATTGGATACATTTAGGGTAAACCACCGACAGCGTAGTCCCTTTCGCGTTTGATGGTCAGAACCCCTTGTGATTTTTTTTTTTTTGTCTTCACTTCAAATCAGCGCTCACAGCACTAGTGCAGTTTCCTCCAACCCGTGGTCACACAGAAGAACCCCTCTCTCCCCTCCCCTCCTGCAGTACTTTGCCTTCGATTTTCAATGCGATAATAGTTCAGCACTCTCTTCCCTCTGTGTACACACGAACTAGCGCTATCCACTAGGCCAGCACCGGAAGCGAGAGAAAAACTCACTTTACAAGAAAAGCTCGCTTACGCCGGCATTCGAACCCCTGACCTGACCTCTAGAAGGTTTCAAGGACACCAACTAGACCACCGGGGCGACCAGATTATGATACCGCCGTACACCTTCTCTCGGCAACACCAGGAGGAGAACGAAGTGATTGCATACATGCAAATGCGTAGGCCAAGCAAATGTCGGCACTGCTGTATTCCTCCTTCGCGGTATTCCGCATCCCCGTGATTGCTTGTGCATTCGCACGAGAAACAAACCAAGGGGTGGTCGTACTATAGCGCAACTGCGAATGTTGGCTTGTTGTTTATATCTTCGCGTCGATCCTGCTGTACCGTCAACCAACGCTTTGCGCCACAGGTCCTCCCAACAAACCCCAACCGTGCTACCGGACTCCTGATCGCGAGTCTGGACGCTACGTGAAGGTCCTTGTCAGCCCTTGACCTCCGTTCCATTTTGATCCCTCGCGTGCGCTCCGATCAGGGGAAGAGCATGCTATCGCTGTACCGGCGACTGCCGCTGCAGCACTCGGGGGCTCTGCAGCTGCACCTCCAGTGGCTCCGGCCGGTGCGACCCAACACAGCAGCAGCGGGCGCATGAAGACCTTCCTGAGGGTTCGGCGGGTAGGGGCGGCTGCCGGGCCCCACTCCCTGAAGGTGGACAGCTCGACGAGGGTTACCGTAACCAAGCCCGCGACGAAAACACGCAACCCGGTCAGCGAGACCTTCGAGAGCGAAAACGTCATGGATGAAACAGTGGGACAGGTAAGGCGCGCAAGGCATCGATTCGTCAGTGTTGTTCAAGATAACATGCCACACAAGGTGGAGCGGTGTGGTTGGTTCGTATGTCCTCCATGTGGGCCGTTCATCCTGGTGGTTGCTACGGTGGTGGTGAATGCTGTGCACTATTCTTAATCTTGCATACCCCTTATCTCCTGACCTTCCGACAGGCCAACGTGTACAGCGAAACCACCGCTCAGCTAGTGCAGGGGTTGTTCGAAGGGCGGGACGGAGTAGTCTTCGCGTACGGCGCCACAAACAGTGGGAAGTCCTACAGCATATGGGGCCCTGGCGACGAGGCCAACGAAGGCGTCATCCCTCGCGCGCTCAGGGACGTCTACCAGCGCTTGGCCCGCGAAAAAAAGCTCAGCACCGTCGGCGGCGGTGACGGTGAGACGAGCGAGCCGCGACAACCGCCGCGTGTTAGCCTCCGCGTTCTGGAGGTCTACAACAACAAGGCCTTCTGCTTGCTCCCGAAGGACGGTGGAGAGCGCCGCTGGGTCGACGTGAGCCAGCTGGGGGATGAGGTGCGCTTCACGGGCCTGGAAGAGTACTTTCCGGCCGACGTCAACGAGGCGCTAAGCCTCACGAGGAAGGTTAGAGGCCGCACGCGCGTCAACCGCACGGACCTCAACGCCACGAGCAGTCGGGCGCACACGGTGTTCATGGTTCGGCTCCACCGCGACGGCGGTGCTGAGGCTGATGGTGCCTCCGTTCTCACCAGGACCCGCGGCAGAGGAGGTGCCTTAACAGCTTCAGGCTCGGCAGCGGCGGTCTCGCACACTTCGGAGTTATTTCTCGTCGACCTCGCCGGTTCGGAACGCCAGCACCGTTCGCAGTCGGACAAAGCGGAGGCCCTCAACATCAACCTGGACAACAGCGACCTGTTCGCGAAGTTCAAGGAGATGAAGAACGGCGCCGCTTCCGTCGTCTGCCGCACTCGGACGCTGACGGGCGTCCTGAGGCGAGTGTTCGTCAAGCCGACCGGGACGTCCTCGTCCTCCTCCTCTTCCTCCTCCTCTTCCTCCTCCTCAGGCATGAGCTGCGTGATGATCGTGGCCGTTCATCCGGCAGCTTCGGAGTACGGAGAAACCCAGAAAGTTCTCAGCAACTTGAGGCTTTCGTCGAAGGTAGTCCGCGTCGACGCGCCGGCGTCCAGATCGAATATGACCGTCGAATACGGGATGAACGGCTGGCCGATTAAACGCCAGAAAACTAGTGCCTCCAACGGCGGCCCCGCTGGAGCGGCGGGTGCGGCAACGAACGGGGGGAAGGGTAAGGGGAAGCTGGCCGTGGTGCCCGCCGCCACTACCGGGAGTGGGCCATCCAGCAGCTCGACGCACGGTTCCGCGCTGCAGGACGACCAGACATTGGAGATTGAGCGGCTGCGCGCGAAAATCGAGCAGCTAGAGGACGAACGGGCCAGGATGGAGGAAGAATGCGCAGGAAAGCTTGAAGAAGCCGAGGATGAAGCGTTCAGGCTTGGCACAGAAGAGGGCAGCCAAGCTCAGCAGGAGTTGGAAGTGAGCAGGAAGGCAGATGTACAAAGAGAAGAGGCTTGGTGGGATTAGCTTTGGCACTGCTGCTCCATAGAGCAGTTGTTGTGGGAGGCATTTCGGGGTGGCTTTTGGTGCGGCGTGTTGTTGATTCTGACATATGAGGGAAGCGATGATCACCGTTGGGGCTTTGGTCCTGGAAACGGATCTCCCTCCATAACTCTCGTCCCCTCGACCCCCCCCCCCCCCCCCCCACAGAGAGAGGTGGCTGACCTACTCGAAAAGATCAGGCGGATGAAGGAGGAGCGTGAGAGTAGATCCCCAGTAGGCGGAAAGACTATGGCGGCGATGGCTCAAAGCGCAATGAAGCGGGAGGCTAGGCGCGCAGAGAGCGTGAGGAAGCTGGGAGAAGGCCACCACTAGGTACGGCATTGGTCGCACCGCCAAGCGTCCCTCCTGTCTAGGTTTGATTTGCGAGCGCGACGCCCAAGGGTGCGAGGCCCTGACCTCCTCGAGGACGCTTGTTCGTTCTCCTGTTACAGTAAGCGATACTGTGTTAAAGCATCTAGGAACTTGACCGTCGAGACACTATAATAGTATAGCCTCCAAGAACTCGATATCTAAGAGCTTGAACATCATTTGTGAGCTCGGCTAGGAACCCCTACACAATAGCGGCCATTCGTAGCATATTCCTAGGAACTGTAGTAAGAACCCCAGCTTAGGCCAAAACTTGAGCGTGCTGATGCTTACTCTACTGCACGTTTCCCGCAACCCGCACACAAACAACAAGTAGGCTTGTCAAGTTTCTGGTGTAGGGTATGCGTATCTGTTTCGACGAATGAGTTTAACGCGTCCGTAGTTCAAAGTTTGCCGGGGTATGGCACGCGTCAAGGATGCGAGTACCCGAGCTAAAATAGTCGAAACACTTTGATACAATATTCTGTTGCCGGGACGACGTACTTAGGTGTGAAGCTCGCTTGGAATGACTGCGGTGCTGGAGATACTTTGTTCGCTGTATAACACTCCATTTGGGACAAAGATATGACAGGTTCCGCGCTGGTCAAAACATTGCGGACCCAGCAAGCTTTCTGGGTTGTAGAATTACTTTAATTTTGTACAGATGTTTTTTTTTCGTCTGGCGCTGCCCACTCAAAACTTGCATTTGACGAGAGGCAATCGTGTACCATGGTACATCGATAGAAAGTATGCCCCGTCACAACACCTTTTCTGAGCGTCATTTACTCCCCTAGCAAGGCGGTTTCAATATGACGTGAAGGACTCTACCACCGATCAAGCCTTTTTCTTTCGTTTTTTTCACGCCATCATATGTATGTATTCATACTTCTTCCAGGGAGGCCGACGACGAAGCGACGCGGCAGTCGAACGAACGCGCCCGCGTGGAGGAAGCCCTGGCTGCTGCCCTAGCCGGGCAAGCCTCGCAGAAGGCCTTCGCTGAACGAGAGACAGCTCGGGCGGACGCCGCGGAAGACCTCGCCGCTCGGAACCGCAAGGATTGTTCCGTGGAACAGTCCGCTAGGAAGCAGCTGGAGGCGGAAGTCGCTCAGCTGAAGACAGCGGCGACGGTGGAAGCCGCCCGTAAGGCTGAGCTAGGAGAGGAGCTGGCCACGGCGCGTGAGGACATCGCTCGACTGGAGAACGACAGGCAAGAGGCGATGGCGTCAGCGGCATCTTGTAGTGCGGCGACAACGTCTGGCGATGGCAGCAGCCGCAGCAGTAGCAGCAGCAGCAGCAACAGCAGCAGGGCTGACGAAGAGGAAGGGGATGACGACGAAGCTTCGCCGGTCAGCGTGATGGACGAGTTCGGAGCCGTCAGCGACAACGACAGCGACAGCGGCGACTCTCCCGTCGGCCTCAGCGTGGACGAAGCTCAGCAGCAACTGGACTCAGCTCCGCCCGGTGCCGTCGCCGCGGAGGGGGATGACAGTCCCGTGGACGACGAAGAGGTGCAACCCCCCGATGCCGAGAACGAGTCCTCGAAGGCCGTGCCCAAGAGGCGAGGTCGGAGGAGGCTGGGCCAGATGGAGGCGGAGGCAGCCTCTCTTGGCAAGCGGAAGACACGCAAGCCCCTCGGAGACCTCCAGAACGGAGCCGTCAACGCCGGCAACACCGAGAGCGGAGTGGCACGACGCGGCAAGGGCGGGAACAAGAAGAAGGTCACCGACGAAGAGGTCGTGATGAAGGCGGCGGAAGAGGAGGAGGGGGAGGAGGAGCCGTCGAGGAAGAGGGGGGCGGGGCGCGGCAAGAAAACGGCCAAGAAAGAAAATAAAGAGGGTGCGGCGGTCGGGGGAAACGAGACGCGGAGCGGCAGGGAACTGAGGTACGTATTTTCGGCTCATCAACCCCAAAGGGTTCGAGGATGTGTCGGGCCCTTTCATTTCACGGACCCTCAGCACGTTTTTTTTTACAAGCATGGGGGGAAGTAGGGTTAGTCAAGGCCTAGTCCGCGGTTAGTGTTTCCTCTAAAACGCCGTGGCGCCCCCAGCGAAATTTGATCGATGTATCACGGTTTACTGGAGTGCTTCAGTTGTGATTGTGGGGACGGGAGTAAACCGGTACAGCGCACACTTTATTCTGAGCTTACGAACGCATGTATCGAGGTAGATTGGTCGCATACGTCGAGTCTCGCCTGCTCCAGGTCGTTGTTGCCCCTACCTTGCCCTTTTTGCTCGAAAAGCGCTTCACTTGTTGCCTTCTTCAATGTTTGTTCCCCACGTTTTTGCAACCCGTCCAGCAAAATCATGTGCACGCCCACTGCAGAGTTTCGTCTTTTCCCTACCCCGCCTGAATCACACATATTTCTGCCGTCGTCGTTCGCAATTTGGGGGGTTGTTTTGTGGCGAAGCAGGAAAGGCGCACGGCTCTCGAAGCCCTCGCCGGAGGTGGTGGTTTTGACCAGGGAACAGGTGAAAAACATGGAGAAAGCCGGGAAGATCATGCGCGAGAGGCGTCGCTTTAGGAGGTAGAGAACGCTTTCCAAACCTTGCACCCGCGATTCCTTTCGGGGAAACAGTACACCACGCGTGCCGAGATACGAGCTGCATTTGCAAGTTTTCGTCCACGAGTCGCCGTGAAGCACAGTGTAGGCCAGCAAGTATTTAGGATAATTTAGCCAAACGAAGTAGTGTTCTTGCCGATCCCAGAGTCGATTTTGAAGCGTTTTGTTGTTTTGTTCAATCGGTCGTCTTCCAGCCCGATAGTCGTCGGCAATACGGCAGGTAGTTGCTTCTTCTTTAGTTTTCATCTACCACGGTGTAACTCTGCTAGAGTAATTGGGTGCCGTGTATCCTGCAAATAAAAGCTGGCACTCGCCACCGGAAGCTTGTTCTTCTATTGTAAAGGAACACGCATTTGGTGCCTTTCTGTTTAAGATTCTAGCGAGAGTAAGACGCAGGCAACCAGAAGCCGCTGTGTGCTTCTGGTTTTCGTCGTTGCCGCGAATCGCATGCCAAAAAAGAGTGAAGTACGAACGGTGGTCACGCCTAGTTTGGCTGAACGTTACATAGTTTGTTACGGATTTCGAAAATAGCACGGCAAGAATTTGTAGTTTTATCTGTGGTTTGATTGTCGCGTGTTTGTACTCTATCGACATTTTGTGCGTACTGGTAAATTTTAGTGCACTTAGAGGTAGGTGTGTTTTGGCTCGGAACGCCTGCAACTGGCAGTTTTTACCCAAGATTGTCGGGACGGCATGAGGGGAATCTGAAACTACCCTCTGTTGATTCCTTGTCTGGGACTATGATACTGTGTGTGTGGTGTGTTGGCCACCATTCGTCGAAGCGTATTGTTCAAGGAATGCTGAACACAATCGGTAGAGGGTAACCGGACAGGCAAACGATGTAAATTAAGCACCATTGATGTTCCATTGCTTTCTTGTGTTCCTTGTACAATCAATCGAATACTTGCGTGTGTTCGTTGAGTTAGTGGCACCTTTGCCAAATGGCGGAATCTTGAGGCAGAGCGATGGCGCATTGGTCTACTTGTAGCGAACAAAATTGGGGCTTTCTGGGGGCTTCACGGAGGGTGGGTGTGATGGTCGCCTGTTGCAACCTTGACCCTTGGTAGCCGCACCTCATGTTCACCTGGACCATACCACTCTCACACCATATATATATCCCTCGCGAAAGTGAGGTTTATTTGCGGTCTCGATGCCGTGCGATGGTTTCCTCTCGATGGTGACACACTTTACCCATGCCGGTGAGTGTACTGCTGTATTGTTGTAGCGATGAGCCCTCTTTGATCTGCGCTTTACTCATCATGCTCTCGTTGGCATCCTTCCGCATGGAGCTTTGTGTCACAACACCTACCGGTCCTTCCGTTTGGTCCAGTCTTCTGTGCCTCTATCTCGTTCTATTTACCTCTCTGCCTCCCTCGGAGGTAGGTGTGGTACAGAGCGCAGAACCTATGCATACAACTCGAACTTGATCGTGTCCACCGACTGCTGTATCCTGCTCTGATCTCCGCAAGCAGTTTCCGCCGCAAGATCTCCGGGGATTCCGCGTACCGCGTTTGGACATCCATGTAGCATATGTACAGTATTCCTAAAGCGTACCCCCTCCCAGTAGCGCGCACAGCAGCAGCACCAACTTTGCGCTCGGATGAGCTTGTTTGCATGGCTCCGAGAGATAGGCCTCCGGCTTCTCTCTACGCTTGGACTCTACAACAAGAAGGGCACGGTTGTTCTACTGGGTGAGTCGCGTGGCCGTTGCTTTAAAAGAAAATGTCGGCTCTTTCGGATGCGACTCACCTGTTGCGCGTCGTGGCGGCGGTTTTGAAGAGCGAGTCACGGCATGCATGCCTGCACGTGGGCCAGCCGATGCAGTACCGCTAGCGATAAATGGTGTTCGTGTTTCTGTCGCAAAGCCCTATTGTCAGCTAAAGGACTTTGCACAAATACCATTTTATGGGGTTCGTGTTCTGCCTGACGACAGACATTTTTGCCTGTGGTCTTCGCGCGGGAGCACGAACAACACACCCGAGAGAGAACAAAACGACACGAAAGCCCAGCTGTAGCCCCCGCTCCCTGATTGCATGGTTGGTTAGGGTTGAAGCGGCAGTTAAGGTCGCCACGGCAAGCTATCCCCCTCCCCCTCCCTTCGCAGACGCAAAATTGCTGTGGTGCAGCGAAGTTTGCAGCGGCTGCTCCTTGGGTGCTTCGGTGTACACAGTTGATTGGCCGTTTCCGAGATGCGGAGAGTTGTTGAGACTCCCCCACAGCTGCTATCCTACTTGCGTTGGGAATTAATTGCAGCCCACACGCAACGGGAGGGATGAACAAGCACAATCAATTGGAGTACCGTCAGCGACCCGGCTCGTGTGTCCCCGTGAAACGTCGCCCATGTGGCGAATGGATGCTTGTGCTTGTTTGAGGACAACCAAGTGCACATGCAATCTTGATCGAAGCCCAGTACTGTGTACTGACTGCTGTATTTTGTCGGCTACACCTGTGAACGTGATGCAGTAGACTACTGGAGATCAATGCCCACCCTCTGGTTCGTTCGCGTTGGTGCGTGTTTTCACGGATGGAGCAGGGCTGGACAACTCGGGCAAGTCCACGCTTCTGCACAGGCTATCCCAGGGACAAGTGACAGCATTGCAGCCGACAGAGAGACCACATATAGACGAGTTTCAGCTAGGGGGCGTATCTTTCAAGGTGGGCACTCTTTCGTATTTGGAAGAACGGAGCAATTAACGCATTCCAACTTTCCTGCAGATATGCATAGAGGGTTGATAGATCAAGGCTGGCCCCTTGAAGAAAGGAAGTGTAAGCTGGTTAGTAGCATAGCGACGGTTGATATTCAAATACTTCCTCTGTCTCATAAGTCTGCGCAGTTATGTTGGGAGAGACCGTTAAAGGTCTCGGAAGTCTTCGGCGATAACTTTTTCGAAATCTTGAGCGTTTTTTGGGTTGAAACACATTTTTTTTTTTTTTTCTTGCGCACTACCCTGCATGGGCTAGCGGCTAACAAAGTAGTAGTCAGGCCGAAAATGGCCGTATTAGACCCCTTTCCAGAGCGGGGGGGGATGGGGGCACTATGGAAAATATAACTAGAAACCCCAGAACTACACTAACCAAACCCAGCCCTTCGCGTCTTAAACGACCCATGTCGCGTCCCCCCATACTAAAACCAGTATAATAGTGACCCCACACTAAAACCAAGACACTTGGTGGTCCCACACTAAAACAAGACACTTGCGGGGCAACCCAAACACCAGTAGGGTCCCATCCCAACCCTCAAAAACGGGCCAAAATGGGCATATTTTGACTTCATTTTAGTATGGACAACTAACTTTTTTTTTTTTTTTTGTGCATCAGCTCCCTTGGCGCTTCATCTTTCCAACGAACCCAACTATAGGATGATCGGAATAGTGTGCGTACGTGAACAATCCCAAGTCCATAACTGCGCAGACTTATGAGACACAGGAAGTATAGCAGTACGTACCATGACATTAAACATACGGCAGAGGAATTTTGATTTTTTGGGAGACTGATGTACAATATTTGTACTGACTGACCAATGGGAGAGTCCGCCCGGAAATCAACATTGAGCTTGCACGTTTTTTTTTGTAGCAATCGACTCATCAGACGTCGATTTTGGTTTGCAGCTTCAATATTTAGAAATCCTCGTGAATATTGGGCCGTGTGCAACGAAATGTAATAACAACGCAGCCGGCAGCAAGCCCAGACACGCAGAGACACGGGAAGAACGGACGAAAACAGCAGCAATCCCAAAACGGCCAATTCAACGCAGGTCCGAACCTCAACTGAAAACAACAAATAATTCCACCAAGCACCTGTCGGCGCGCGTGGAATTATCGAGAAACGAATCATCTGCCCGCAGGCGACATATCGATTTTGCTAAGAATGCATGCCCTCGAGAAGAACCCTACGAGGACATCACGATCCACGGACGACGGTTGCGATGGTAGAAATAACAAATATCGGAGAGGACGGTCTTGATCGCGGCCCAGGTTCGTCTAGGAAGCGGACGATGCACACAAGTGTTTCAGCCTGATGAGTCGGTCCAGCAATCTTACCCGGCCACCAACGTCCGTCTTCGAGCCTTGCGCCAAAAGGAGAACGCGCCCACAGCCAGAGCGGCGAAACGACGATCTCAGATAGAACGAGAGACAAAAGGATAGCCTAAAGGCAAATACTTGTCGCCTGGTGAGCACGTGTCATTTCTCGTGCAGCTGCTCCTGTACCGCCAGAGCCTACTGCGCCCCCCCCCCCCCCGGGGAAAAGGCCCCCCTGGGTTGTCTGGGGGGTTCCCCGCCCAAAACCGGGCCCCTTTAACCCCCCCCCAACCCAAATGGGGGGGGCGCCCCCGGCAACCCCCTCCCAAAAACAAAAACGGTCTTTCCTGGGTTTTTAAGAAGGGGCTTGGGGGCCGGGGGGACCAAGTTTTCTCCCACAAAACACGGGCACCCCCCAAGGCCTTCAAGGTGAAATGTACCGGAGGGTACATGGCTTTCTCAACCTGGGGCAAGGAGGAAACACCCCCCCCCTGCTGGCCCCCGGGGTGGGTGGGAATTTTGGGGGGGAAAACCCCCGCGCCCCAACCCCGAATGCCCTTTCCCAAAACCCCCAAAAAAAAC